TTTACATCAGTTCATCAGTTACAAAAATATATGTATTTTTTACTATTGGCTACTAGATAGTAGCTAGTTTTACATTGACGTTGTCCCCTTCTAGGTCATCTCCTTGTGCACTGCTGCACCATGTTTCTCCAAACTGTTTCCTGGAAGTCATGTCCTTCCTCTATACCCCAATCCTAAGAAAATAAATAAGGGTTGATATGGTACAAATCTTAATAAAAAAAAAAAAGAGTTAAAATGGGATTTGGTAGGTGGGGGAACCCTAAGGTCCAGTGTAATGGGGCAGTGCAGCAAAAAAGTAATCAGTCACACATACTGTCACATATACTGTGGTTAATACATAAGCAGATTTTACATCATGGCTTTATCATCATGACTTCCTGGCCACTATAAAATTATTATAAAGGCAGACTTTTTGTATGTTAATAAAGAAAACAATCACCTTAAAGTGGACATGACAGTATCACGGCAAAATGTGCAACAGACACGCCAGTCCGCCATTTTATACTTTGCCTATCCAAAGCATGAAATGGAGACGCATGCAAAGTTGCAGTAAGCTGCAGAACCAGCAGAGTGAGATATTTTATTTCAAACTAACATTGAAATAATCATGGGAACACATTTTAAACAGACATTATTCATATGTAAATCCATATTAGCCAACTAGCTTTATCATTTCTGTCGATTAACGACCCAAGAATGTAAATCATACCTTTCTGTGCTCACTACCGACTTCCTGACTTTAAATATATTATCTCCCCCTGTTGGTTATGCAGATTCTGCATGTGTATCCAGTTCTTGATTTGGACCAGCCTGTCTATTACACACTTTGCTGTGGTTGTGTATTAATGTGTAGTCTGGGACTTAACAGCCATCTGTGTGCATGGGTGTTGGACTTCCTCACTGGCAGAACTCAGGTGGTGAGGGTGGGCAGGTGCTTCTCCAACAGCATCACCATCAACACAGGAGCACCTCAGGGATGTGTCCTCTCGCCACTGCTCTACTCCCTCTACACTTCAGACTGTGTGGCCACCCATGGCTCCAACACCATTGTGAAGTTTGCTGACGACACAGTGGTGTTGGGTGCCATCTCCAACAATGATGAGGCGGCCTACATGGATGAAGTGAAGAATCTGGCATCGTGGTGCCAGGACAACCACCTCCAGCTGAACTTCGGCAAGACCAAGGAGCTGGTGGTGGACTTCAGAAGGAGTCAGCACAGAGACTACAAGCCCATTATCATCAATGGAGCTCCAGTGGAGAGGATGCAGTCCTTCAAGTATCTTGGTGTCCACATCTCCTCAGACCTAACATGGGCTGCCCACATTCAGGTCCAGACCAAAAAGGCTAGGCAGCGCCTGTATCACCTACGACAACTGAGGAAGTTCAGGGTCTCTCCAAAGATCCTCAGGATTTTCTATACAGGCGCTGTGGAGAGCATCCTCACACAGAACATGACATCGTGGTTTGGGAACAGCTGTGTGAAGGACCAAAAAGCTCTCCAGAGAGTGATCCGTACAGCAGAACGCTGCTGCAGGATTGCTCTCCCCCCGCTTCAGGACACCTACACCAGGAGATGCCGGACTAGAGCAGCGCAGATACTGAAGGACCCGTCCCATCCTGGCAACAAACTGTTCCAACTTCTGCAATCTGGTAGAAGGTTCCGCATCATCCGGGCAAGGACAGAGAGACTCAAGAGGAGCTTCTATCCCCAAGCCATCCGTGCCCTAAACACACACACCCGCCCTCTCACATCATCTATAATTGACTGAGTCAGGACTCTTCCAGACACTAAACCAAGGCACAATGTACATTTCAATTCCTTTAATTTTAAATATGTTTATATTGTCTATCCTGTAAAATAGTCAGATGTCTATTCATATTAATGTACAGAATTCACCTGCTTGCTGCTACTACTGCACATTCACCCAATGTATATACTATTATATAATGTTCTTCCTTTACAGTCCCCCCCAATCTTTGCACATGTCGAGGAGCGTGTCAGGCTACATTTCACTGTGTGTTATACTTGTATAACTATGCATGTGACAAATAAAGAACCTTGAACCTTAAACCATGGAGCCCTACTTAAAATACTCTAAGATTTAGCACTATCTGTGAATGTTGATTTAAGAAATAAGTATTTAGAGTTACAATTTTTAGAGCATGCGTAGCACCATCTTGTGCCAGTACAGAATGTGAGATCACTAAGTTGGTTGGTTGCTGCTAATAGTCTTGCATTAGCTAGCTAGTAACAGAATTGATAACTCAATAGAAAACAGGGAAACTAAAAAGTAAAAAGCAGTCTCGGGGGTGTCACTTTAAATCGCCCCTGGCTGTAGCAATAACTTTTATGTCAAAAAACTAATTTGTTTTACAATCAACTTTCACTCTCTGTCTCCTAAGCAGTAAGTTGTTCTTTATTGTTGGCTAGCTGCAGTGTAATGGGAAAATTCTCCTGCTGACGTAGTGTTAGAGTTTGTCGAGCAGTTTAATAAATGAAGACTATGTGCAAAAGAGCTTGTTTGAGTCAGGCTCACGGTTGATTCACCACACAGACAAACTGTCCGACACTGTCCCCTCTGTGTGTGATTTTTGTTGTTAGGTTGAGTGGACAGACTGAGCAGTTCAATCAACTGGCAGATATATGTCTACAAGATGCGATCAGTGCTATTTTATGCAATAAAATAGTTTTTCTTCTCTTAAGCATATCCAACCAGTTTACTGCTTATATATCACACAAGAAACTGAAGCATAACTGATAATCCTAGAACACATGAGCATGTCCACAGGGAGATTTTTTTTGTTCCGTGGACATGCTCATCAAAAGGAGCGAGCTGAAGTGGTTTGCACATCTGATAAGGATGCCTCCTAGGTGTCTCCTGGTTGAGGTGTTCTGGGCATATCCCACTGAGAGGAGGCCCCAGGGCAGACTTAGGACAAACAGGAGAGATTACATCTCTTGGCTGGCCTGGAAGTGTCTTGGTGTTATTCCCCTGGATAAGCAGAGGAGGCGGCTGAGGACAGTGAGTCTGGGCTTCTCTGCTTAGATTTCTGCCCTCATGACCCTGCTCCTGATAGGCGAAAGAAAATGAATGGAGGGATGGATGGATAGATGAACATATCACTGGATGGTAGGATTCCTGATCGTGCTTTGGTAAGAAACTTAGTTATGTTTGGATGTGCTTGGGTAAAGAAAGTATTTTATGGCATAAAATGGTACTGATCACATCTAGTGGACATCTGCTCTGCTAGCTAATTGCCCCTCTCAGTTTACCCACCAGACAAAGAAAAAACACAGGAAGGACAGTATCAGACCACTTTTAAGTTTGAGTTCACCTTGATTTACTTAATCTTTGGCTCTTTTTACAGTGTGCTTTTTTAAATTCTCTCTTCCTTTCATTAAACTCAACCAGTGGTGACAGGCAGCCACTTCCTTCTTGGACTTTTCTTCCTGTTAAAAGGGGTTTTTCCTTCCCACTGTTGCCAAGTGATTGCTCAAAGTGATTGCTCAAAGTGATTGCTCATTTCATTGTTGGGGTTTTCTCTCTATTATTGTAGGGCAGTGGCTATCAAAGTGAGGTCCCCAGACCTCTAGGGGTATGCAAGGTGCAGATTGGGGGTCTGTGAAAACACATAGTGTCACCTGGCGCATAGTGGCACTTAAAAACATGTGCCAGTGACAACAGTCCCCTCGAGTTTGGGTTTATCGAGAATGTTGATGGAAGACCAAAATGCATGGTGTGTCTTCAAGTGCTAGAAAATGAAGCAATGAAGCCAGCCAAGCTAAAGTGGCATCTCATCTCAAAGCATGAGAGTTATAAGGGGGTCCTTGGAAATATTTTACCCCCTGTATGGGGTCCCTGGCCCCTAAAAGTTTGAGAACCCCTGTTGTATGGTCTTTACCTTACAATATGAAGCACCATGAAGCCACTTTAGTTTTGTTTCTATAGAACTGAATTGAATTAAACACTTTCCATGGCGTTATTGGTTTTGTCACTAACTAGCTAACATAAACTAATGGGAATCTATTAGCAAACAAACAACCTAGTGACATCACATTCTGTACTGACCCAGATTCCTTCAAAAAGTCAGTCCATTTTTAACTGTATCCGGGAAGTGATTTGAATAGTTATTTGGAAGCATTATCTAGCTTGTCTTTGATTTCAGTGGTCAAGGGAACATACAAGTTACTTATACAAAATATCCTGTTAAATGTGAGGTTTTTTTTAAGTTTTAATAAGGTTTGATAAGATTTAAAAATCCTTTCTCTTGGCACTATCAAGTTTTTAGCCTAATGTGTGAATACAATCAATTAATTTGAAATAGACATTTCTCGGTAAGCCATAACCAGATAACCTCACCAAGTTGATCCACTCTCCAGTTAAAAATGTTATATAAACAAGAGCACAGTGCAACTCCCAGTGAAGGGCAAGTTAAGATACTTTAGTATATTCATTTATTTGTGTCTATGTGAAGTCGAATGTTTTGAAAACCTCAAACAAAGAAAGTTGTTAACTGTCAAAAAATACCACAAACAGTTTACAGGCCACTCATAAAATATCTCAGACAAATCCATCTCAGTCAGACATATAGGGATTCACCCGTTTGCTTCTAAGATGCTTGAATACAACCAAACACCACACAAAAAAAATGTGTATGGTAAACTCAGCAACCGTGGTAAAAGTGCATACCAGGCATTCTGGCTTCCTCACACAGTAAACTGAGTAAGAGTGAATGCTGTCTGTCTCTCTGTGTTGGCCCTATGCTGGACTGGCATGTCAGCTGAGATAGGATCCAGCACCCTTGTGATCTAAACTGCATAAGAAGTTAAGGAAATGGGTGGATGGATGATTAAGCCTTGATTTAGTTTTAAAAAGAATGAATCCTTGCCTTCATATGGAAGAGGCAAGCGCAACGATAATCTTGTACAAGATTTATAGTTCTTTTATCTTTGGCTAATAAAGGTTAACGACTTGTTTTGTTTGTTCTTGTCTCTACAGGAATTAAAGAGCTGGACCAATTGATTGTAGTGCTTTTTACCACACATATGTTCATCGGTGGATTTTTTGGATTCATACTGGATAACACCATTCCAGGTGAATGACAGAATACTTGTGTTAAAGACAATCAATTATAAAGTAAGCTCTATCATCTAACCTCATCCCATCTTTTTCAGGTACTGACAAAGAGAGAGGTATCAAGAGCTGGCAGGACAAGGTGCAAGATGGAAGCAAAAACATGCATGACCAGTCATGCTATGATATACCTTTCTGCAACAAGGTTTTGAAAAGGTTTAGATGTTTCCAGTGCCTCCCCTTCCTCCCTTCTTACAAGACCACCCAGTAGTAGGCAACCATGTAAGGATGTGGTAGCTCAGTGTGCAAAATTAATGTTGGCCTGTTAGCCCCATTAGAACAAAGAAGTCTTAATTGGATGGAATATTCTCAATGACAAAATAAGTGTACATGACACTTACCTTATTTCTTCAGTGCTATTACGGTTCATTTTAAACTTCACTGCTGACAGTGTTTTCACAGTGTCACCTTTCTGCTGAAGTTTCAGTTTCCCATGTTTGTTGATCTGGTTAATTATTTCTAAAGAGTTGAATCTTTGAAACAAATAGAAGTGTTTCACATTACAGAATTTCAAATTCACATTACAGTGTACATTGGCATCAATAGGCAGAGGTCAAGCTGCTGCGGCTTTAAACTGTCATCGTGCTTCTGAAACTATCTTTTAGACTGAAAACCCAGTGGAGACATAAAGCCGCTGATTCTTTAACATTATTAAAATAAAATCTAGTTTAATCTCACTTACCGAAAACAAACACTGAAACAATATTTGTGCTAATTGGTTACTAGTTTGTTTTTATATTATGTTTAATTAATTAATTATATGGATGGTTGCAATTAAAATAGCAATTTATAGGTAGTGCATTTATAAACATTAGGATGTTGTTGTTTTTTTTGCAATATCGCTGATGTTTGTGTCCTGCTTCATTTTCACTGTTTCATTTTGTTTGAACTTGAACAGGTTGTATTAAAATGTGACGAGTTGAGATTGTTGCTTATTAATGTTTTTTATATTAGTGATTATTTTATAGCTTTTTAAGAGTAAACAGTTAATTACAATGATCATGAAGGCGCAAGACCCACAAGCAGGACACCCAAAAATCCAGATCTTTAATCCAGAAAGCTGTACACAGGAAGGCAGAGGAGGCAAACAAATCCAAATATGGCAAAAGTAAAGTCCAAAAAACAATCCAGATGTTCAGACACACAACAAACAAGGAGCAACAAGGGAAAAATTGTGGGCATACAAACAACATACTAGAAATACTAAAATATTTGCAATGTTTGACCAAATCATGGTAATGGCAACTTTAGTTATGTAGCAGAATTCATCATACTCAAATTCAATCTGCTTACTACAGAGAGTAAAAATAAACACAAATCTATATAGGTTTATAATGACAGCTGAAAAATAAATTTTATAATAGTTAAAACAGCTAACATACACATGCACACACACTCACAGACACTCAGC